TTTCTATAAAACCTGGTTATATTTTACTGTTTTAGAGGGAGAGGGGAGGCTTCAGCCCGAAAGCTCCCTCCCTCCCACCATAGATTCGCCTGTGCAATAAATTAATATGTACCAATTTGATAACCTTTTCCTCCAAGTATGCTTTCCAATTTATGCTTTTTCTCACTTATGGTTTTAAAGTTTCTCATTCTCTACTGACTGGATTAGAAACCATTACAATATCTATATCAGTTTCATACTGATACATACAAGAAGGATCGTGAGATTTTATTTACTGCCTGAAAATGACTTATATTATTATCTGTTCTATTAACTAAAATATATACTTAAATATTAACTTAAAATATATACTAAAATATCTATTACTTAAAATACTTACTTAATAACTCCAATTTCAACATTTTAGATTAAAATCAGTTTAGTGATTTTTATCGTTGGAAAATATATAATTTCTTTACAGACAGCGAGCAAGTTGATTCCAGAGTAGGTGATTGCAGTTTTGAAATATAGAACTGTGAATAAAGGTATAAATTTTCCCACTAGAAATATCACTAAAATTAATAATAAAAATGTTGAAATCGGAGTTAGTCATTCTGTCACCTGAAAGACTCATATTATGAATCGTTATCGGGTTGTTTAGCAAAAATCATATATCAATAATCAAAAAATAATTATATTTTTAATACCTTTATTTTGTTCTCGGGTTGGGCTATATTATAAACAATTAAACAATTTTTATAATAAATGCTTTATTCTCTCTGCACAAAGAAAGAAGGAAAGAGACCAAGCTAAGTGTTCTTATAGGTGTCCGAAAATCGTTGGAGGTATTTGGTCTCAAAAAAGCGGAAGTAAACCAGAACATAGGAAACATACGTTAATGAAACGAGAAAAGGATCGCTAAAATCTCTGGAAAAATACAATAAAGATACTGATGGAAACATTATTTGGCGTAAGTAATATACATACGATATGTATGTAGAAAATGGGTATGTATGTAGTGGTTGGCCAAGCAGACTAACGCGTGTACACAGCACCGCGTTGTCCGGCAACCTGACGGGAGATTATTTAATTATCATTACATAATCAATCATGTTACGAGAAACTTTCGTGAGATCAGCTCTGACGATGGCCTAAACTTTGGGCCTAAACGTCCGCAAAAATAAAAATAAATATAATTTATTTGTTTTACTGAACACTCCGACTAACTTCTCTTCAATTATTCACTACAGAATACAGTCACTATCAATCCACTATTAGGATAATTTGATTAAATAATTGAGAGTTCGCGTACCAGTGTCGGAGGGAGAAGTTTTAACTTTGGTATTAATCCCCCGCCCTTACCTCATGGTCCGGAAAAACTCCGTGTAGCCTAAAAGGCGAGGACAAAAAATAAGATGAAGAGAGTATTTCAAAGAGCTACTAGAAGGGAGTTCGTCTGAAAACCAGGGGAACTCTGATAAAGGCGATGATGTCGGCAAGAACTAGCGGATCCAGGATTTAATTTGGGAGGGGGCGGGCTTCAGCCCGAAAGCTTTTTTTTCATAAAAATAACGACAATTACTTTGGAAAAAAAGAAAGAAACTAACTACCTATATGAAATGGTGTTTATGTGATCCCTAAAGTCCTTTTAAATGTAATTACAGAAACAATAATACTTTAAGAGATAATTTTTTACATAAAACTTGGTTACATTTTACCATTTTGGGAGGGAGGGGACTTCAGCAACAGAGTCCTCCGGTAGATCCGCCCGTGTCAGCAAGGAACTATTGTAGGAAAGAATTGGCAAGTAAGAAAGGCAATCTCTCGAAATGAAGCAGTACTCTCCTTCAATCCAACCGAATCCTCTGGCGCCATCCAAAAATTACAGGAAGATATAAACGCAATATGTGCCTGGGCAAATCACAATAGGATTACTCTACGCCAATAAGACGAAAGCCATTCTGAACGGATCTCCCTCACTCCTCAAATCCATACAGATAATCCCCAATCTTTTCCTGAACAACTCACCTATCTCATTCCATACTTCCGTAAAAAACCTTGGTGTTACATTCGATCAAACCCTCTCGTGGAAACCACACATCTCCCAAATTTCCCGCCGTACTATCTCTACCCTGAAACAGTTTAACCGTCTCCGCTATCTCCTTCCATATAAATCCCGTCAACTTCTGGTTTTCTCCCTTGTGTTCCCCCACTTCGACTATGGCTGTCTGGTGTACGGCGGACACTCGGGAGAATTAGAGGCCAAACTTTATGGCCTAATGAACTGCGCAATACGGTTTGTTTTCGGAATCTCAAGAGATACGCATATAACCCAGTATTACACCAAGTTGAAGTGACTCTATCCATCCAACCGCCGTTTGTACTTCCTTGCCACTTTTCTATACCAAGTCATCAGAACTCTGCGGCTTTCCTATATTTTTTACAACTCAATATTTTTTTCAATTCAAATATTCCATTCAATCCCGTCTCACTAGATCTCGTACCTCCGACCTTTATCCACCTCCTCACCGAACTGCAGCGTTTGACAAATCCTTTATAATTCAAGCCGTCTCCTTCTGGGATACCATCCCTTCCGATATCCGACATGTACAATCAGTTTCCTCATTTAAATCTCTCCTTTTTAACCACCTACTCCTTTCTCAACCCGATTGATCATGAAATGTAGATAAGAGAACTTTTAAAGTTCCCCAGAAATGATTTTCTTTACTTACGCTATTTTATTTTATTATATAGTTTGTATTATACATATCAGAATGTTTTTAGTGTAATAGTTATATTTTTTGTTTTATTATTTTTTCAAAATCTTAATCATAATAATAAATGTAAATAATTAATTTTATGTAAGGCCACACAGGCATTTATGCTGTATCTGTAATTTGTCCTAAAGGGACAACTGTCCCAGGATAATAAAAAAATATTTTCATTTCATTCATTTTCATTTCATTTCATTTCATTTCATTACATAGGCAGGCTCGATGGCATTCTCTATAACCTATCTCACAGTGAAGATATTATCTAGAGTTTTTGAATCCCTATCGTTCTGACAACCGATTATTATTCTATATTATTATATTATAATCATTTTAGCGATTCTTGAGTAGAGTTTCATCAGCAATCTGAAATGGAACATGTCTCGATGACTGTTGCATTTCCTGTTATTTCCTTGCTTTAAAAGAGACACAACTCCTACATTGTCATTTTCAAATGACATACCAGATTAAAAAAAAAAGGATATCATCAGTAATAAGCTTTTTGGAGTCCTTCTGAAGATAAAATATTTTCAAATCAAACTCGTACACCTGTTGTAAGCCAGGACGGATATGAATGTTCTAAACATAGAATTATTTTGCCTGAGTTGGTACCGATATGTCTGAAAAATAAAAACAAAATTTCAAGTGATAAGGCTATGGTTATGACACACTGTCAGAAAATGGTCATGTCGCTTTTAACATGAGTGGTTGTTACCTTATCTCTACCATTGGAAAAAATGAACGCTGATAAATGAGGATTCCTATTTTTGTAACTCCTTTCAGATTATTAAAAACCTTTGTTAGAATGAATCAAATATTTATTTATTTATTATTAATTGAATATTTCCTCATACGATGAAACTTTTGTTGAGTGATTTGAATTTTAATAAAATAAACCTGTAATGGTACGGCCAGAACTAAGTGGACCCGGATGTACAATAACGGTAGCAAAACGAACCCTGAGAAGGAAACCGACCCTCTTCAAGCCCCTTAGTTCATTTACTTCATCTTCCTCTCTAGAAAACTTTAATCATCTGTTCCTTTTTTGTCTAGGTTCTGTAGGTTCACTATCACTATTCTCAATTCGCTTTAGAGCTTATATTTTCAATAACATATGAGATAAATGAAATAGTTATATTTTTCTCATTGGAAGAATACGTTGCAATCATGAGAATAAACAACGCATGTGTACATTTCTAATGGCTGTTCCTTTGCTAAAAATTGTTCGATTTCGGTGTTATTTTTTTTATCTTGGAGGGAATTTAGTATTCTTTCAATTAATCATGAATAAGATTAAGAAAAATTTGTATTTTTTTTTAGTAATTCTCAAATACAGTTTATTTTTCTTCCTAACTTTTTCCCCTGAAATTTAGGAGGGATGACTGTTTCCCCACCTGAAAGAGAAGATCTTCAAAATAACTGCTCAATGGATTAGATGAAGAATTGATTGATGGATTAGATGAAGAATTGACGAAGATACGGCTTAGCGACAAAAAAAAACTTTGAGAAATAATAAACAGTTTTTTACTCTATCAGATGATGGTCAAATCCTAAATTCGTTAAACAACATGCCAGCTTTTGAAAAAATTCGTTCACATGGAACCTAAGTGGCTAATATACTCAACATTTCTTTGGCAATGATGTAAAAATTAGTGATTTTGCCATCACTCAATGTGATCCTTGTTTTCGTCTAAAATATCCTCTTCTAAGTACCAGTTTAATTCAATCATTGCCTTTGATTCAGGTTTCCCATTTGGAGAATGTTGTTCTGGAGTTCTCATCTATGTTTCTATGTTTATACACCAATGTTCATTTTTCTATATTTCTCTACGATTATCTTAATTTTTCTCAGTTGCGATGAATTTTCTCTCGTTTTAGTATTACGCATATTTGCTTTATTATTCTTTATCGCGTTTCAATTGTTGTTCAGAACGAAGATGGAACGGAACGAGAACTGGAACGCATTCCAATGATGGAACAGTTTGTTCCGTTCCATTCCGACCTTTATTCGAAGTTGCCCATCCATTCTCATTGGGCTCAACCAGTGTTTCCACCTTTCTTGTTATATTTATTTATGCTTTACAAGTTATTTACATTAAATACACTTCTCATTTATACAATTACTTATTACGAAATAAAAAAGTAATTTTCCTCAACATTAACAATTATAATAATTAATACTTAGAATCAGAATGCTCATAAAATTTAAAAAAAATATATATACTTAAAAGTGTTATTTATATTTTTCAGAAATGAAGAATTCTATTGGTTCACTCCTTGCCTTGGTCACCATGGTGGCTTACAGTTCTGCATCAACTAATTGCACACAACCATTGGAGATACGGAGTGGCCTTAAAATATTAGTCCATAAATACCTCTGCAACCAAGAAGTAGATAATGCTGATCTTCAAACGGAACCAGAAATATTTTATGATGCCCCCTTACGGCAGGTGAGAAATATTAAATATACAATAAAATCATTATGTAGTAATTTCATAATCATAAACCCATGTAACCTGTTTAAACTTATCAGTCGGATATTAATTTGACTGAAACAGTCATAGGCAAAGACTTCGGGGGAGCGAGGTCTCTAGTGTTGCCCAAATGCGAGACCGAGACGAGTTTTGGTCTTACAAACTCAGTCTTGAACATGATCTTGGTCTTGCACAAGATTCTCGCAACAATCTTGCAGTTACTTATTAGCTTATTGCTATAAATATATTACTGTATTTTTTTAGATACGAGAAACCTAACTAAGCCCGAATGAAAAATTAAATGAGTCAAATGAAAAAGTATATTGGTTATACCAATTATTAACATTTAGTTACTAAGATTGTCAAGTATTAATAACTATTTTGCCTTTATTTTTATTTATTTAAAATCGATTTTTTTTTTACCAGTCCTGGTCTTGGTCTTACAACAGTTAGGCGGCCTTGGTCTTGGTCTTGCAAAGTGCAAGACCAAGACCGATTTTGGGCAACACTAATCGTCTCCTTTATCAAAATCTTGAGGGGGCCAGAATATGGTTTCCTCCCTCTTCCTCAATACTTTGTGCTGAAAAAAAAAATCGCAATCAATAATAAATAAGCTCCATGAATGAATAAAATGTGTGAACTAAAATCGATTAAGAAAATTCGATTAGCTGGCTAGTCTAGGGCGTAGTAGTAGGTATCTAACTCTTTTATTGATACCAAAATGTTACTTTTATTTAAATTTTCATTTATATTCCAAGACCATAATGTATGTTTAAATATCCTAGGATTTAATGATTCAATCACCCCTCAATTTCCACATGATGTTCTTATCACATTTTCCGTGAATTACTAGTCGGACTATGAAAAACGTATTTTTTGAGGTTATAAACACTAAGACATCAAAAATATTTATCACTTTTTTACACTATTCATTTTTACCTGGAAAAGTTCTAGAAATGTGCCAATATTCTGAAGGTTGTCTCTCTTCCCTCCTGAGTTTAATCTAAACAAATACTTTATATTTTCAATTGTATTTTTATTTAGATAATTTCAAGTATATACAGGGTGTCCCATAAGTAGAGGGAGATTTTTATAGGAGTGAAAGCAGACATCAAGAGCTACATAGCTTATACAAATAATGGGCCGATTTTCAGCAGGAAAGTAGGAAATTAAAGTTTTGTGGGTTCTTAGGTGTATGTTTTTTGTTGAATAGGAAGTGATAATTTAAAAAGTATTTAATTTAAATAATTAACAATTACTTCATTGTAAAGTAAACAAAATTTACTTTAAATAAAAATACAGCATGTCATTGGTAAAACTATTTAAAGAGGACTTTTGTGGGGCTAAACTAAGCTAAGTTCTGTTTAAAAAAAAATTAAATTATTCGCGATTTTTTATGACTTTTTATTTGTATATATTTAGGACTTTTAATTTCAATTATTCAAGCTTATGATTATATAGATACTTTTGTTTATTGTTTTTTTTACACTATAAAAAAGTTTAAGTTGTATATCATTCAATAGTCTAATTTTTAATGTATTTTATTAAAATTTTAAATTTTGAGGAGCTTAAGGTTTCCTGAAAAACATATTTAGTTCTATAAAATTTTACTACAACTTTAAATTATAAAATTAAAAATACGCTATACAATAATTTTGAGATTGTTGTAAAAAGAAATATTTAAAAAACAAATTCTAAATCGAAGAGGAATAGTTTATCTTGTAAATATTGACTCTTTATAGCTTTTTTTCTTCCGGAAATGGAAATTTCATCAATTTACTCTCTTTGATATTTCCGTAAATATTAAATTTATAAAAGAACGTAGACTGGACCATTTCTGTAGAAGCGAAATGATACTTTAATATTGTACAGAACAATTTTTGAGAAAAACCTCATAGTTTATGAGATATTCTTCAAATCAAGTCAGTTTTCAGACATTTTCGCTCCTTATCAAAACGTGTGGAATTTCAGAGTCTTTTTACTAGTAATTAGTAGAAGGTAATGAACAATTTCTGACAAGTTTCATCTTATTTTTTTTTTAATATTGTGGTCAATTTCTAATTGTACCTTACCAATAACCTTTTATTCAATTAGAGATGAATCTCAACTTACTCTGTAACACATCTCTACTTGATTAATATAGGCTAAAAGATCATCAAATAACAATGTTTTTCTAAAAGTGTGGTTCTTCGCTCCAGTTGGGCGATCATAAAAAAATGTCGAAGAATTCTTGATTTTATAAAAAACCGAACCGTAGTTTAACTGCTTTAAAGTCCCCATCAAATGATTTTCAAAACGACAAAATTTACTTGCATTTAATGTTAATTTTATCTAGTTTACTATGAAGTAATTGTTTATAACCTAAATTAAATATTTTTTGTTATTAATTTTCATTTAATAATAAACGTCATTAACTTAGGAAATACGAAATTAAAGTTTTCATATTTTCTGTATGAAATCACTCCATGGTCTATAGTTGTTTCTTTTTTTGCAAGTTTTAAGGTCTGCTATCACAAAGTATCAATTATATGAAATCAGTATCGATCTAACCTTCATATCAATATCACGAAATTACCCACTGAAGAATATCGAATATTAAATAAGAATATCTCTTGCCATTGACTTTTTTGAATCATCAAAAAATTAAATAATGATGTAGAGATGGTTGACCGTGAGATAACATGAGACGGAGTAGATCGGGGGGTGTGGTCAAGTAAATACTAAATTTTAACAGTATCAATTATTAATTATTACGCCGACGTTTCGACCCACCTTGCAGGTCTTCATCAGGGTGTACGATGTGGCACTTCAGGAGGCAGTTGATAGACTGGGCCAGTCTACTATTTTTAAAATTTAGTATTTATTTGACCGCACCCCCCCCCTCCCCCGATCAACTCCTCAAAAAATAAAATAAAATTTTAATAATAATTTGAACTACTAAAAATGTTATAAGAACGAATTAAACTTCAAAGTAGTCTCATCTACTATGAACAACATAAGTTTAGTGGAATTTTCGCTTCAAGAGGAAGTACAATAAATATAATCTCATAACCATTGATTTTATCAAAAAATGTAAAGGATCATTTTGGTAGAGATTTTAAAGCACTTTAATATTATTAAAATATTGTGCTGAAGAATCTTTGAGAATAACCCCATAGCTTATAACCTCATAGATATTCTCAAAATATCATAAAAAATATCCACACACATATGTGGTCATATTTTTTGTCCCTCTTCTCTTCACTATTGTCGTCGCTCAACTATACAGCGTTCTATAGGAATACATGTGTTTGTTTTCATCGCTAGTATCGTCGTTCCACTATGTGAGCACCCTTAGATATGAATTCACCTGTTAAGTTATCAAGGACACTTTTCATGAAAATAATGTCAGATTTCGCGAGAAAATTGGCCCCTTATATCGATGAAATAAAAAAAGTGAGAATTTGATGTATTATAAGCGTTGTGCAATCTTGAATCCCACAGTATTTACATAAAATGCGCCCCGACAACATACTAGTGAACCCTCATATAGAAGAAATCCAAAAAGTTATTCAAATAAAATTTAATGGTAATTAACGAATAATAGATAATAGATGATTCGAAATATCTGTGACTAATTGATAACCAAGAATAATCCGAAAAAATCCATCGAATATTGGATGAAAAGTATCTATTAATCGTTATCTAGATCAATATTTATTCAAGTAATGTCCAACCCCATTGGGACCTGTAGATCTGCCACTTAGTTGGACTATACCCCATACGGATCTACGGGGGAGGGAGGAGGAGAAGCCCTAGATGTCTAGATGTACTTAGATAATATCTTCACTGTGAGATAGGTTATAGAGAATGCCATCGAGCCTGCCTATGTACTGCTTCATTTCGAGAGTGATTGCCTTCCTGACTTGCCAATTCCTTCCTACAATACTTCCTTGCTGACACGAGCGGATCTACGGGGAGGGGAGGCTTTTGGAGCTGAAGTCCCCCTCCTCCTCCCCAAATGGTGAAATATGACCATCTTTTATGGAAAAAAATATTTAAAAATTATCTCTTAAAGTATTATTTTTGGTGTAATAACATTTAAAATGACTTTATGAATCATTTAAACACCATTTCATATAGGTAGTTAGTTTATTTCTTTTTTTCCAAAGTAATTATCGTTATTTTTATGAAGATTTCGGGCAGAAGTTTCCCCCAAAATTAAATCCTGGATCCTCTAGTGGACTATACTGTTAACTTATAATTTATTTTATCATTTTAATCACTATTATTTTTATTGAATGAATTAGCTGCGTAATAATTGGTATGCTTAGTTATTTTGCTGAATAATCCACAAATGGAAACTATTACAGTCATTCGTAAAAAAAAAAAAAAAAAAATCGTGTTTATTTGTATGGGTAATATTTCACATGAGTTCCACATGGATTAGGCATGGTTCACAATCACTTCGGTATCTTTTTTTTTACTTTAATCAAGAACATGGAATTTTGGAAAGTTAATTTGACTGCCTAAAAATTGTTTGCTATCATAACATTATGTTAATCATATTAGTAACTTAGTTCTAGGAAAATGAGATATCATGGTTTTGGAATCCGTTATTGAATGGTTGAATTACTAATCATTCCATATCTGAATCAGCATTTCATAGAAGCTAAATCCAGAAGAATCTATATGTTGATAGCTTGTATAAAATTAAATATGGAAATTCAAGAGAAATTATATTTACTTGAAACTGATAAATTTTACTTTATTCTATAGGAAAGCAGTATCTTTGGGTTCAACAAGAAACACTGATGTCAAGAAATGTAAACTGTAACTGATATTAATTTTTATGATTTATTGATCTTTGCTTTTCAGGATTCTATTTTTTATTTTTTTTTTTATATAAGTTAATCAACTACAATATCTGTAAATATGACAATTCACTCATGAATGCTGGAGATTGCTCGCATTAGGATTATTTTCAAAATATGAAGAATTTTGCGAAACATCAATTTAAATTATGAAACTACAAGAAAAAAAGGCTAATGTATTTTTTTATTTTTAGGATCGCAATTATACCTTATTTCTATTAGAAAACAACAACAATACAGGAAGCTATAAGATTCACTGGTTTCTTACGGATATTATTGTAAGTATATTATTTTGTTGTAAAGGTCTCTAATAATATATATATTTTATTAAGGAAGGAGATGGTCCGGGGTGGCGCTCTTAAATAGAGTAAATAGTGGCAAAACTATTTCATTAAAAGCCAACATTTCGACCCGACTTTGCAGGTCTTCTTCAGGACTAGAACGGACAAGATACAAAAAGATATAGAGAACTGTGGAAGTTACATCATATTTAAATAAAAAATGAAGAGAAGAATAGTTGGGGTGGTCAGTCAAAAAGGAAGGCAAAAATAAATGATAATATTTATTTTTACATATGCCGACGTTTCGACCTGAAGTTCAGGCCTTCATCAGGGCTAAGAAAATAACCAGATAACAAGGTATGAGAAACATAAGTAGTGATGGTAAAAAAATAATAAAAAATAAAATAAATAAATATAAAGTAAAATGAAATTGTTAGGATAATGACTAAGAACTAATTTCATTTTATAATTTCATTTTACTTTATATTTATTTATTTTATTTTTTATTATTTTTTTTACCATCACTACTTATGTTTCTCATACCTTGTTATCTGGTTATTTTCTTAGCCCTGATGAAGGCCTGAACTTCAGGTCGAAACGTCGGCATATGTAAAAATAAATATTATCATTTATTTTTGCCTTCCTTTTTGACTGACCACCCCAACTATTCTTCTCTTCATTATCCACGACAGTCAACTAATTACCAATTTTAAATAAAAAATGTATGTAATTTATATGATTACAAATAATTATTTAATTTTTTATCTAAATATAATGTCATTTCCACAATTCTCTATACCTTTTTGTATCTTGTGGAAGTTACATCATATTTAGATAAAAAATTTATGTAATTTATATTATTACAAAAATTTATATAATTTTTTATTTAAATATGAGATAATTTCCACAGTTCTCTATATCTTTTTGTATCTTCTCCGTTCTAGTCCTGAAGAAGACATGCAAAGTCGGGTCGAAACATTGGCTTTTAATAAAATAGTTTTTCCACTATTTAGTCTATTTATGACTGCCACCCTGGACCATCTTCCTCAATAATACAATGGTCAACTATTAAGTATTCAATATATATTTTATTTATTTATTGAATAATATAACATTCAATGGTTATAGGGAGGTAAGATAACATTCACATAATAGTATAATATTCACACAGTACAAAAAATATATAAAATAAACATAAGCAAAATAACTTAATAATAATCAAAAGTATATACAATAAATAAAATAAAATAGCTTGAAGATAAGTAAATTAAAAAAAAAAAAAAAAAAACACAAACATACCTATCTACATTATTTACAATCAGGCAAGGGAATTCCGAGTCAGGCTTGTCCCTTCAACTATGGAGAGAAAACCAAGACTCTAGGAGATTCCTGCACTATTCTCTCAACCGCTTCACTAGTACTGAAGGCAGTGGAGATTTAGAGCTCTGTAGCCAAATACACTCATGTCTTGATTTGAGAATCTGACCATTGCAAGAACTCCAATATATGCAAACTACAAAAGGTGGCGGGAGCACTGCCATTTTAACATTCTTGGGGGATTATAGGGATGGGTGGTGCTTGATATTGATTGTGCAAGAGGATTTGGATGATACCTAAGGTTCTGGTGAAATTTGGAGTGTTTTTCTGGGATAAGGTCTAGGACAAATGGGATGTTGAGGTCATGATGTAGGGTTTTATTGGTTACATAGAAAGGAGCATCGACTATTGTTCGAAGGACTTTGAACTGAAAGGATTGAATTGCATTTGGTGCTAGATAATTTTTCTGTCTCTCATAGTTTTTTTTTATTGTTTTCCAGACAGAATTGCCATGAACAGACAGCGGCGTAAGGTAGGAATTAAAGGATTGGGATCTGAAGGTTGATAATTGTTGGTTTGATAGTTTATAGTAATAATTGTAGGGGTGGCAGTGGCAGTGGGATGTTTGATATGTTGTTATAAAGATCTGGCGTTTGGTGTGGATTAGGTCTATTAGGTGTTGGACTAAATTATTTTTCTATGGTTTTCTTGAGGAATGATTTAGAGAGGAAGCAGTCCATACTGCTTATTGAATAGTGGTGGTTAAGGAATGCACAGCATTGTCAAGGTCTTCTTTGGTTTTCAAGGTTATTCTAAGATCAATTTTATTGGAAGGGATTTGATGAAAGAGTTTCCAGTTAACTGGGCCTCTGATGAACGACAGTCGAGAGGGTTTAGGAAAAGGAGCTAGAGATAATTGAACTATGGTCTGAGGAAAGCTCATCAAAAAGAGTAAGGGAATAATTGAGAGGACCTATATCTGTAATATAGATTAAATGTTATAGCTCTTTTTGTTTTATTCAAAAAGTATATCAGTCATACAGAATGAAATTGATACAACTTTTTTTTTTTAAAGGACATGGGCTAAGGCTAAGTTTTGCAAGTTATGTTGGAAATGTTTGTTGTATATAATTATGTACTTTATGCTAACTAATATGTATGTACACAAGTGTACTAATATGTACAACACAAAAAAAATGTAAGGTTTGAAGAAAAATTATAGCAATGAGTGAATAAAGATTAAAGTTTTCTTTATTAAAATTTGGCTACATATAAATTAAAGATTGTTATGTAAAATATATTAGTTAAATGACTGACTGAAGTTATCAAACAATGAATTAAATGACATTTACAAAGTTTTCAAATGATTACAGAAACTATTAAATAAAAAGAAAATTCAGAAATGATTAAAAAATGTCTTTCTAAATTTTGCACCAAAGATTAATTTAGTTAAATTATAGTTTTAATAAAAATAAATATATATTTTAAAATATCCTGTTTAATCAATTAATATATTTAGTTATGAAAATGCCATAAACCAAAATAAATAACTGGCAAAAATAATTATGACAAAAAAATAATTAAAACAAACGTATAGCCATATAAAAAATTTAATTTAATTCTTATATGTCTATTTAATTCTTAATGCCATTGAATGGTAAAGTATATTTTAATATGTTTAACTGTGGTTTTCCAAAATTGGAATGTTTTAAAATTACCTAATAAGGCTGAAATGTTAAAAAATTCAATAAAAATTTTTATTAGTAAAAATTGTTTGTGGAAGTATATGATCTTTTAACATATTACTCTATTTTTGATTAATTTAATACTTATGTTACAGCCAATAAACAAATCATTAACAGCTAACAAAACAATTGTCGAAGGTAAATAAAATATATTATTACTGCTAATTACAAGTACATATTATGATATTTATAATATTTTATATTTTTTTTAGGATACAAACCTCCAATGAACTCCAAGAACTCCCATTTTACAGTCCTTATGTACGGACACCACAACAATTTTCATCCAATATCTCCATCACATACCGAGATGGATAATTTTATTCCAAACACGTGGGCAGCACCTATTCCAAATATCACGTTAGAAAATAATGCAACGTTCCTTGTTACAGGAAGGAATACTTCACATCTTCATCCATCTGGTGTAATCCACCCACACACTACAACACAGACACATACATCGCAAACACATCCTACACACCCAACATTTGAATCACCAAAGACTACTATCAGACCACAATATGTAACAGAAAAAGTTACCGAAAAACAAACTGAATATCACGTTTATAATTCTACAAACAGCAGCAGTACTAATCATAATTCACCATCTCATTCTCATAAAAGTAGGGCAACTAACCACGTATGCAGCCTTACTGTTATGTTCATTCCGTTAATATCACTTATAACAAAAGTGATATTCTAATTCTTTATTAAATAGTTATTTTGAATATGTAACAATAATTTTATTGCTTGGAACTTTTGACCATTCAAAAATTGTTGTAGTAGCAGTTTACGCCGAAAAGTTTTCAAGAAATGTTTTCTTGGGATTGTATCAATTTTTAATTTTTAAATGTATCTCTGTGATTTAATCACAGTTATTACTGAAGTACGCATATCTAAAATGTGAATATTATAAAATTAAATATTTAGTGTATGATATCAAGTACATATATTCATATAAGTCCTAAAATTATGTATAAACTGTGAATAAGTATATTAATCCTTTATTGTTAGGATGTTGTTAATGATTTTAGCTGTATTTTTTATTGGATATTTTATAAATACTTAGAAATGTAAATAAAAAGTAATCGTTGCCTGTATTTTTTTATTTTTTTTTATAGTTTTGCTGATAGCCACACCACATTTTTCCTTACTTATTAACTCTTGTCGCCAGAGAAGCAGCCACTAATGCTGCACCCCTACCACTTCCATCAGATGACAACATTAAACTATATTCCTAGAAAACAAAATACTTATTATTTCAGATAAATTTAAATTACTATTTGTTTTAAAATATTAAATTATGAGATTTAATTTATTAACAGTTTCAGTAATTTTAAATTAATAAATTTAACTTATTTTTTTATTCAATTTTTTAAAGGTAAACCAGTCAATTTATTTTATTTTGAAAAATACACTAAATATATTATCATCATATCTATAATCCAAACAAGCAAATCTATGAAGCCAACCTTGAAGAGAATTATAAAAATAACAAAGTTATAATATAAATTAATCTTAGGCTATTAGTAAAACAATTAAAATTGAGATATTGAATGAAATCCAATTCAGATGAAAAGCTATATCCAAATTAAGTAATTGATATTTTTTTAGGAAGGAGATCGGGTGATTCTCATAACTTCATTGCACAGCGGGCACCAAATTTCTAAGGCAGGCACTGCTATAAACACATTGTGGAGAGAATACTATTAATATCCAACCGATAATTCTTCATTCACACTGAAATATCACCATATATCCAGAGAAGAATTAAGCATAAAATAGAATATATCTTTAAAACATAATTAAAATGAAATCATAAAACTACAAGAGCTGGAAGGCTAGATGATTAATTTTAAGTTTTAGTAGACGTTGTAACTTTGTTTAAAAAGTTCCTTACCAACGCCCTTCAGTGTGGCAGACTGTATTAATACTCAATAAAAAAAAAAAAAAAATCCATTTTAACAGGTCTTGAGAAACTTAAAATTCTAAAATAAAATTTCTAAATAACTTTTTGTAATAAAGTTCCATATTCATGGTAACAGTTTTACTTGTATTTATTCAAGCGCTTAAAAAAAGGTCTGTTACATGAAAAATAAACAGTAATTGGGCGTAGACTAAAGTTGTAATCTGTCTTAAGTGAATTACACATGATTCTAATGTGTCGTTTGTTTAAATAACTATGAATAAAAGTAATTTTTTAGATAGACTTTTTAGCGAAATCAGCAGAACTTTTGAATAAAAGTTTAATTTTTTTTTTTTTTTTAAAGTTCTGTAAAACGTTTCCTTGAGAAGTTGCTTGGGAAAAAGTTCTAGCTCCAAAAGAACTAAAAAACTATCGACAACCCGACAAATGCGGTGACACTAAACTTTTTCATCCCATTTTTTCATCAGTCTGCTATAGAATAGTTTGTCCTTGACAAAAATAGAATCCTTGTCCTTTACAAATTCCAGAATTTAGCAGAATGAAGGCTCTAATTTCAGCCCAAAGTCTATACAGGCTTTTCTATTACAACCTTTTCTTTTATTATAGCTAACAGCAATAACGAACTAATGAAAGAATGATATAAGACGTACTAGAAGATGATACAAACGTACTAGGCTACCTCAGCATTATTCCACATTTAAATCCCTACAAAATCTCACACAAATGACCCTACGTTGCGCCAAAGCCTAATACTTCAATAACCTTTTATCCCAAGAACCTAAGCCTAAATTCAAATGGAAAATCCTTAAGAACTTCTCTGTTGTTACCTCGAAAACCTGCACACAGTATCCAGTCGATCGAAACACTCTAAATTCTTTTTTCACTAATCATTTTCTATCCACATCTCCATCTGACTGCTCATCTTTTTCCATTACCGAAACTCCCTTCGATCCAGATAAGTTTTATTTTCTGTAAATCTCTCCTACTGACCTACTCTCTGCTACCCTTAAATCCAAAACGAATGATTATGGTCCTGACCAAATTCCTGTTAAAGTTATCAAACTTTGCCTTCCAGCCTTACTACCCGCACTTCTACACATACATAATTTCTCTCTCCGAAATTCCATTTTTCCCAAATCCTGGAAAAGAGCCATAGTCTGTCCACTGAACAAAGTTCCAACTCCTTCCGACTTCAGACCCATCTCCATTCTATCCAATCTATCCAAGCCTCTAGAAAGATTAGTTCACTCTCAGTTGAACAGCTTTCTTGAGCAAAACCATCTCCTCAATCCTTTACAATCTGGTTTCCGTTGCCAGTATTCCACCCAGTCTGCCTTGCTAAGGATTACCCAAGACCTCCAATCCACCATAGATAAACAGAAAATCTCTATCCTAATTCTTTTTGACTTTTCCAAAGCATTTGATTCCGTTAATCATGAGATCCTTCTTTCCAAACTCAAAAGCCTGCTCATATCAAATAGCGTCCTAAAATGATTCCTCTTCTTCTTCTCCAATCGGTCTCAGACAGTTACAATTCCGGACAAACCTCCATCATCACCCCTTCAATTAACACGAGGTGTTCCTCAGGGTTCCTCACTCTCCCCGACCCTTTTCTCTATCTATATTAGTGACCTTCCTAACACCATTCAACACTCCATTTACCACCTATATTTCCAAATATACCAATCATTCCAACCTTCTGAGATGCCTGAGACTGCCCGAAGGCTACAAGAGGACATCAACTGCATCAACAGATGGGCAGAAATAAATGAATTTAAGCTGAATGCAGATAAAACCAAGGCTATTATCATCGGGTCCAGACATCTCATTAGCTCCCTTCCTTACTTTCCTCTACTTAACCTCCATAACCGTCCCATCCATTTTTTCCCTACAGTCAAAAACCTAGGAGTAACCTTTGACCAGAACCTCTCCTGGAATAACCATATTTCCCAGATTACCCAAAAATCCATAACTGTCCTTGTAAAACTTCTAAGATTCCGTGGTTGTATTCCTCTAAAAACCAGACAGCTCCTTGTAACCTAGCTTGTATTCCCCCACTTCGACTACGGCTCTTTGGTGTATGGAGGGCCATCTGCCAGACTGGAAATGAGACTAAAGAGACTCATGAATTGTTTCATTAGATAAATTTTTGGGATCCCCAGGCGTTCACATGTTTCACTCTGGTACACCGAGTTGAAGTGGCTTTATCCTACTTCCCGACAATTCCTCATTGGTGTTTTCCTTTTCCAAGTCTTCAGAACCAAAAACCCTCCCTACATCCTAGATCTCCTTACTCTACATTTCATTTCATTTCATATGAACCCCCGGTACCATGATCTGAAGCAAAGAAAGGGTTCCCGAGATAGCAAATAATTGAAGTTCAAATGAAAAATCAAATTTTTCTCTAGCTGATCTAATTGAAAGGATTATAATAGATTATAGTACATTGAGATGTATCAACATCTCATCATATGAAGATAACATAAAAGAAGAACTAACACCTTAAGACACTGGTCTTGTAAAAAAATAGGTATTAACATATTTTTAACCCAGAAATCGATTATCGGAGGTGTGATAAAAGATGTGTTGAGCGGTTTTCTCACTTTTCTTCCCGGACAGCAGAATAGACACATCGTACCTGGTTTTGAGCTGGCTTAAGAGACTGTTCCCCGGCAGCTCCAGAAACACATTGACTTCGGTTGGAAGTCACCAGATATGTACTTTATGTTTAATTAAGAGCATTCTTGTATTCATTTTTCATTACAAAACCAATAGGTGAAATTAAATAGTTTGAATACATGGAGAATTATATGTAAGTTAATATTATGGAAATTTTTATTTCTAGTTGTATATAGTTCTAGCAATGGGTAGTTTCTCTTCATGTTGTACATGTCATGTTACCAATTTCACATTTACTTATTGTATATTCTATGTAATACAGTTGTAAATTCCATTAAAATAATAAAAAAAAATTTAAAAAAAGTTGTATATAATTGTTCAACGTTAAATCTTATTTTGGGAGATCAGTATTAAGTTTATTTCAGAAGCATTAAGGATATTTGTGTTTAGAATAATTTTATTTAGTATAATAAACTTCTTAAATAATTTTGCATCTAAGTTGTACTTTGGTCCCGTTAATAAAATATAAATAATTAATATTTATTTGATATTATAAATTTTGAATTATTTATAAATCTAATCATTTCATTTATTTTGATTTTAAGAAAAAATAAAAAGGATACATCACAATATAGGAAGGAAGTTTCTTTTTAGTTTTGTGACTTTTTCCTTCTAATGCAATAGTTATAGTATAATTTTTTGGTTGTATACTAAACAATTCGGGTCTCTGCCAAATAATCAGGAATTTTCTTTTATTGTTACTAGTATTGCCATGCCGATCCATAATATATAATATTGTTCTATTTAGGAACATTCCTCAAGATCCTTGCACTGTTACACTAACTGTATATGACATTGAATATGGATATTACGATGTAACATATTGTGAATTTATTAGGAACATATTAAGAACAATAAAAAAATTCGAGACGATTTGGCCAAAAGGTTGGGTACATAACTAAATTATATAAAAAACAAAATAATTACACTTTGAGGAAAAAGTAACTCACAGTTAAAACCTGTACATGGGATACATACAATAATCCTTTATCTTCTTTTGTTCCCTCATGCTTCATTTCCCTCCAGCATGGAGGTGTACTCAGCTATCGCAACCAGGCATCCCGGTCTCTTGAAAGTGCCCTCATGTTTAATATCTACTTCCCTCTTGACCGTCCTTGCCTGAATAAGTGATTTTCATACAACAGTCGAGGTCTACCCATAAGTCTTTTATCTGTTGGTCAGGCTTTTGGGTTCTCTATATCCTCCCGTTCTGCAGACATGATCACACCACTTAAGCTGTCTTTTCTCGAATATTTATCCCACTGGCTCGAGGTCTAACTCTTCTCTAATTCTGTCATTTCCTATGTAATCTCGTCTCGTTTTTCCAGCCACTCTATAGAGTTACCTCATTTCAGCTGTTGTTATTTTATTTTTATATCTGTCCAGTGTTACCTTGCTTTCACTACTATAGAGCAAAGTTGGAAGGTATACTGCTTTGAATGAATGAATGAAAAATAATTTTATTCTGGAACTCGACTCCCCTCAGAAAAATAGCGGAGTTCAAAATATACGTACGCCAGGCTGGCATTTAGATATAATACAGATATATACAAAAAAAAAACTAAGGAAAATACAAATATTAACAAAAAATACAAATATATACAAAAACTCTAAGGAAAATCCAAATATATAAAAAAAAAAAAATAAAATAAAATAGCTCTTATCAATTAGCTGCTGGTGAGCAACTTTAGTTACATAGCCTAAAATTTCTTATAAGCTTGCGGAAGATCGAATGTGTAGTAGGTGGTGAAATAGGAGTTGTTTGAAGAAATTTGTGGATGTAGTTTGACGTATGGAGATAGGTAAGGAGTTCCAAAAGGAGGCATCACGAATGATGAAGGATTTGCTAAAGGAAGTGGTTTTATGGGAGGGAGTATATAGATCTATAGGTTGAGATCTGGTATTAAGAGTGTATAGAAGAATGTAGAGTAAGAAGTTCTAGGATATAGAGAGGAATTTTGGTTCTGTGGACTTGGAAAAGGAAAGTACCAAGAACTGCCGTTGGGAAGCAGGATAGAGCCACTTCAACTCAGTGTACAAGCTGGAAACATGAGAACACCTAGGAATCCCAAAGATAAATTTTATAAAACAATTCATAAGTCTCGTCAGTCTCTCTTCCAGTCTTGTACCTTTAGTAGAAGTGGGGGAAAAAAAGGGATGTTACAAGGAGCTGTCTTTTTTTTTTCTGGAATAGACTCACGGAATTGTTTAAGGATTGTTATGGATTTACCGGTAATCTGGGAAATGTGGTTATTCCAAGAGATGTTCTCATCAAAGAATACTCCGAGGTTTTTGATTGTCAGAAGGAATGGATGGGATGGTTATTGAGGTAAAGTAGAGGAGAGAAAGGAAGGGAACTAATGAGATGCCTAGAACTGAGGATAGCCTTCATTTTATCAGTGTTCAGTTAATTTTTTTCTGCGCACTTGTGGATACAGTCAATATCCTCTTGCAGTTTTCAAATAGCCTCAGGCATCTCAGAAGGTTGGAACGATAGGTAAATTTGGCCAGATAATGGCTTTTTTCCAGGCTTTAGGAAAAATGGAATTTTGGAGGGAAAATTTGTAGATGTATAGGAGTATTGGAAGTAAGATAGGAAGGCAAAGTTTAATGAGTTTCACAGGTACTTAGTCGGGACCATAGTCGTTGGTTTCGGATTTAAGGATACTAGAGAGTAGGTCAGTTGCAGAGACATCTAGAAAGTAAAACTTATCTGGGTCAAAGGAGGTTTCAGTGATGGAAAAAAGTGAGTTCAGATTTGAATACAGAAGGAAGATGGTCAGCGAAAAAGGAATTTAGTTCATTCGAATCTACTGGATAAAGTGTGCAAGTTTTGGAGCTTATGACAGAGAGATTTCTGAGGATTGTCCATTTGGATTTAGGATTTGGTGTTTGGGTTAATACATTGTTTAAAGTATTGCCCTTTGGCATGGCGTTAGGATATTTATGTGCTGTTTTGTAGGGGTTTGAAGATAGTATAGTGAAGGGGCAGTCGTGTATGTCTTCTGGCAGCCTCTCTTCTCATCAGCTCTCTAATTTCTGAATTTATACTGGGAGCAGAGGGAGGTCTAAAAATGCGGGTTTTAAGAGGAGTTTGATGGTTAAGGAAATCAAGGAGGCTAGAAGAAAGGTATTCCACCATGTCATTGATGGAGGAAAGGGAGTAGATGGGTTCTAAGGAAACTGATAAGGAATCGAGGTAAACATTGATGTTTTCAATGGTTAGAAAATCAAGATCTATCAGGTAATTAGTTTGGGAACAAGGGTAGGAATATTAACATTGTATGAGATTTCAATGAAATCATGAGATGAGAGAAAGGAAACAGGATTTTGCGAGGAGGATAATAGGTTTTGAAGGGTTTCAATGATAAATAAGTCTAACCAGGTATCAGTGGACTGGGTAAAATGGGTGGGTTGAAAAGGAACAATAAATAAGCCTATGTGAGAAGGAAGGATTCAAAAGTGGGATCGAATTGGACACAAGGTGGGTGATAAATAACGATGTAGAGTAGGGAGGAGGCTTTAGAGGAAACTTAGACAAATAGATATTCCCTGTGCGGGATGTTGGAGGAAAGAGATTTTAAAAGGATTTTAGCCCTCAAACTATCGTGACCGAACACACCGACACCTCCTCCCGTTCGATCATGACGAAAGAGGGTATAGTTGAGTAACTAAATGGATGGTGAGGGAATATCAGGTTTGAGCCAAGTTGTATCTGCTTTGTGTAGCCTTAACCCAACTTTCCTCGTACCCATGATGGAGCTACAGATTTGGGAATAAATATTGTTAACTTTCCTTTCCTGATGTTGACCTCGTTATTGACTTTGCCATTCTTGCTTATTATAACACAGCTCTTGCTATTCAAGCATAGGTTGCACATTCCAATACCCTGTAAGAGATGAGTATGTCATGATTTTAAAGTTTGAGTAATCATGACTTTGCAGATGAACAAGTCAGGAAGAGCATATATGTTTTGAATGGAAAGGATAGAAAGAAATCATAAAAACTCGGCTTATTGCAGCTAAAAATTCTGTGGTGTTAAGTAAGATGCCCACTTAAACCAATCTGGCCGCTGAAAAGCTCATTCGATTTGGTTCAAAGTTGGAATATATTTGGAGAATAGCATGACTGGAATGGTCTAGTATACAATTCAACAAATTCCATTAAACAATTAAAACCAATAAACTTACTTGAGATTATATATAATTGCTGAGAAATGTGGCAGGCAGTGAACATATGGAGGTAACATTTAAATGTAATATATATTTATATGAAATTAAAATTCTTTAAATTATGCATAACAACTACTACTGTCAATTCGATTTGATTAATTTCAGGTAGTGTGAAGGTTGATAACTTGATTTTATCAAATTTCTCTGCTAATAATTAGCCCTGTGTTTTCTCTTTATAAGAGAATACTTCCAAAATGAATACTCCTGTAGATTTTATTACCAAAAGACATAGAAATGATGAGGAAGTTATTTTAAACATACTTGACAGGAAAGATATTAAATATAAAAATTATTGTCATTTCTATCTAATGTTCTACAAGTATCTAAATATTCTACAAGTATTTGATAAAAACTGAAATTAGACTAGTTTCTTTGACATCAGTTTTGGTTAAAACTCATTTATTTACATTTCTTATGGTGCATAGGTTAATGTTTCAATCAATCACAACAATCCACACATCACTCCTCATCCACAAATTCCTTCAAACAACTCCAATTCCATCACCTAATCCGTATTCAAACTTCCACAAACATGTAAGATTTACTTGCTTTTGTACACTGTATATTTCAATAACTGCAACAGTTAATTACCATAATTTTGTATACCAGAAACTAGTCTAATGTACATAATTATTAACTCTGCTTATTCTTAGGGGACTGTAGTCCCACAGTAAAATAATTTTTTCATTTCATTTCAAATGCAAGCTAATGGTTCCACTGACCACCTTCTATCTATTTCTCTTATTTGAAATGTGAACTGGCAGCACTTGGCTGATGTCAGATGTTCCTCAAACAATCCAAGGTTGGTTCTATTAAGACCATCTTCTTAAATCAAAGGATGTCAACCAACACCAATGGCTGTAGCATATTAAACAGCTTTTTCTTTTATTTCAACATAAATTAAATATCATTCTAAAGTAATTATAGTTGGGGAGAAAAAATAGGAGCGGGGAAAAAAATACAAATTCCATTTTAAGTAAATACATTTTAAGAAATGTACATACATAAAATTTAATTATTGGCTTAAACATCAATTTCAGTATATACATTTGAATATTTGTATCTTACATGAATTTTAAAAACTCTATAAAAAGATATAACAAATAAGGCACATTTTCATATCAATTATATACAAACATATGACAACATACTTGACACATTTATAAAAACGCATATGTACAGATATATAATTATTTTTCACTGAAAATGTCCAAAATACTTCATATACAAATTATTACGTTTTTGTAGATCGCTAATAAAAACTCATTTATTTATACGTAAAATGCTGTTTGTGTGAAATATACAATTGAAATCCCTTAACTTCAAATTATACATATAATAAATATTTCCACTTGATAAGGATTTTGGAAAAAAAAATTCTCAGATCAATCAATATCTATGATTTCATTAAGAAAATTATGAGTTTCAAAAAAATCATAGATTTAAAAATTCCAACTTTATTTAAATCAACTGATATCCTTAGGAAAAAGTGTTAATTTATAAGGCTGAAACCAACCACATATTTTTTGAAAAGGGGTTCCTGGTAAATGTACTACAATTATAATCCTTTTTTATTTTTACTTAAAAAAATGATCTTTCTTTAAAACCATTTACAAAATAAAAACATTATTAAAAATAACATGGTCTTTTAAAACTAATAGCACCCGAAAGTATCCCTATTAACAAATAAATAGAAAATTAATGCTAATGGAAATAAGTAAGGGAGAATCCTAAGAATTCTCAAAATGAAGAAAACAGGAAGTGGTAGCACTAATAAAGGGAGGCAGCAACAAGAGCAGCACCACGCCCTGATCCATCCTCAGACAGCATCAAATTTACATTCTAACAACAAAAAATATCCTCACCTTATTCAATGTTCACAACAAATTTCGTAAATAAAAGTCTCTTAACTAATAATATCCTTTAAAATTATTTATTGATTAAAAAAAAAAAATGTATCACTTAATCTACTTGATTATACGTCTTATGGATATTTTAAAATATTAATTTAATGAATATGAAGAATTTTAATTTTTATAACATTAAATGTAATTATATGATAGTTTTGGACATCAAAATAGCTAGTATTAGAAATAAATCTAGAAGGCATTGAATCTAGTACATTCTCAAGCAATCTAGAATAATTGTAGTATAATCCACACTACTTAAAGGCAGTCTAAAATTTTTATTTAGTCAGGAAGGAGTGAGAAGAAGATTCTGTACCAAAATAGATGATAGTTGCCTTATCAGTATTAACATTGGTTACATTGTTTTGTCAACAAGTGTTTTACATTGTCTGTGAATTTATTTTGTTTATATTGTAATTGTATTTATGTAAACTACAAGACCTCCGGTCAGAACAGTAATTTAAGTTATAAATAACAATAATTAATAATTTTTTTAAATTTATTGTTGTTTATAAAAACAGCCTGAAAAACCTAAGATTTGATTTTATTTAAATATTTAATTAAATTTTAATTTACCATTCATTGTATAGTTTATTATATTTCTATGTAACTTTTTTTTTTTTTGCAATGGCAACCAAATTTTATTAATATCCACTGAAATTTACTTAAATAATAGTACAAATTTATTAAATTGAAAGAATTGTAATATTAAATTTAATGTTATAACGTATTTGTATTTAAAAAAATATGTGAAGTATGCAAAAAATTCCAGATCGTACAGAATTGAGAAGTTTCAAAATATTCGAAAAATACATTACAATATCCAGATGTGTCTAGACAATGGTGTGCAACTATTGAAGGAGGGTTTTGTAGGCATCAGTTCAGCCTATAGTTCGTGTATTCAGTCAATAGGTAGCGAGTCAGTCTTTGATTAATTCATATACAGACATTTACTGCAGTTCAAATTCAGCTTAAAGTTATCTTAAGACAAGAGTTCAATAGTGAATTCATTGAGAACAGTAATTATCAGAACTTTGATGGTGAATTAATCGAGAATAGTTATCAGTGCTGTAATATTGCATACAATGTATAAGCAAATTATGCCATAATTTTGTCACCTATATTGTGAACTGATCAGGCTTAATTGTATTAGTGTAAACCACAAGGTCTCTGGTAAGGACTGTAATTTAAAATAATAATTTAAATTACAAGTTAATGATATCAATGATTAATAGATTGTTAAATTTAATGTTGTTATTATTTATCAAAACTGCCTGAAAAATTAAGATTTGGTGACACAATGAATATAAAATTATGGCATGCTAAATTACTAAAAAGCAAATTAATTATTCTAAAAATATACCTAAGGCATAATAGTTAATATAAAATCTATTTATTTTTAATATATTGGCTGATTAATTTACAATTAATTATAATATTTAAAATTTTAATTACCATAATTTTATCATCGATGAGCTGACTTATTTTTTGAACCATCAGGTCATGGAAGTGAGGGTGATATCTGTACAAGGAACCATCAACACCAATGGTTAATGATGAATATCCCATCTTATTAATGAGGGTTGCTAAAGCAGCAGATGCAAGATGGGCAGCTCTCCTTGAAACACACTCACAGACAAATCTGATACTGTTGCAATCTTCATCACTTACTTGAGTATAACCGATTTTCGCAAGAGCTTTTTTACATTCTTTAAAACAACCCCTCTTGTCACTGTAAAATGAAAATAAAATTAATTATTGCAAATTTATTGTTGATAAACCAAGAAATAATCTAACAGTAAAATCAGACATAGATTCATTGACCAAACAATACTTCTAAGCACTGTAATATGAATACTAACTAAATATGTTTTAATGCACTAACTTCATAAATTAATTTTTAAAAAAATGAATAGACAAAATTATTTTGGTAGATGATTACTGCTAATTAGTTGGCCATGGTGGCCAAATGTGTTGAGGAGAACAATGACTCTTTAGGGTTAATACCTAACCCAATACAAATTTTTTCAAAACCGAAAAAAATTTTTGTTCCCTTCCTCTATGTAAGCAAGCATTCTTGCACATGCATGAGCTAAAATGGCTTAGCAAAATCTTACTTTGATTATTACTGAAAATGATAATATTAAGGAAGATATTACTTTTACAAAAAGTTTTCTGTATTCGTAGTCTTATGGGAAGAAGATTTAGGGCTTCTACACACAGAACCCAATATGTACCTATGATACGATATTCTTTGTTGGTACCATTCATTTATTTACAGCTCAGTGAGACTGCTATAATGCAATATATAGTAATATAACTACATTTACATATCACTGCCAACAGGAATATCGTATTGCCTAGATATACCGCACTTATTCTGTAATTTTAACATTTCTATATCATTTTTTTTCAAATAATCATTGGGAAGATATTTGTACCAAAAACTTGAAAACAAATGGATCGTCACTTAAAAAAAAAAGTCAATTTAAATGTTTTATTTCATGTCAATTTATTAAATGTTTTCCAATTTAAAAAGATTTGAGCTGTAAGTTCAGAGAAGCAAAACTCGAGCAAAATAAGTCGTGGAAAAATAATAACAGCACTCCATGAAAATATTGATCAAACAGGTAATTCAGTTCAGATGAACTTTACTTAATGCTTTAAGCAAGTAATTTTTTTTTCTTCTTTTATACAATTAACTGTCATTCTAGATTTATTGTTTACTTCTAAGAAAGGCATCTTTTCTAACTCTTACAACTTCACTCTAGTTTTATTTAGATAGATATTTTGGACTATTTGATTTGTCCTATTCATTGATTCGACTATTGATTTGATAATATTAAATAATATTATAATATTAACTTTCTGGTAATCTTATTCCCTTTGCAATTCTTTTAATTAAATTATTTTATGAATTATTGAAAGATTTCATATAACACTAAAACTAATTTTAACAATAATAGGGAGTGCTATCACTGAGCAGTATCTCTTCAAGTCTGTTCATAACAATATTTTTAATGTGTTCATTTTTACTGGTTGTATTTTTTATACATTTGTAAATTTCATTAAATAAATAACAAAAAAAAAAAAAAAGACATTTTGAAAGGAAAATGGAGAAAATATTTACCTTTCAACTACCGAGAGAAACTCTGAAGGGACCGTTCCACGTTGCTGAATTTGTTCATTTAATTTTCCTTCCAAGATGAGATTCTCTGAAATGAACTTGACTAAGAGAAGCCTCACTATTTCTCCAAGATACATGCCTGAGATAAGTTTTTCATGTCTAAAAAATCAAATTAAAATTTTAAATAAATACAAGTTATAAATTATAAATAATAAGTTTTTAAGAATGTCAAAATATTAATGTAATAATAATGATGTTTCACAACCAGTACAACATATCGTTTGCATAGTGTTCGCAAAATCAATTTACTATTTCAATGTTTTGTTCACTTGTGATTTTTTAAAAACATATATTCATTTGTACAGTAAGGTGACCAGATTTTAACATCGGTAAAGCTGAACATTGGCCGGAGGGGGGAGGGGAGAGTGGAAGGGAGGAGATTAGTTAGTAAAACGGGACACCATTGACCGGAGGGAGGGAAGGAGGAAGTTTTTAATTTGGTTCATTAGTTGGTATAGACAAATGAACAAAATTTTAAACAAAAACTTCCTCCTTCCCCTCTCAGGTCAATGATATCCCCCTTTACGAACTAATCTCCTCTGCCTTATATTAACGTATGCCTTTGTATTATATATTTGAGGAATGTGTGTTTGTTGTCTCAACACAACCTGAGAAATAATTATTGTGTAAAATAAATATTATTTGATTCAGAAACTGTTTTGTTTACTTTTTAAAGAAAATGTAACCTCACAATATATATATTTATTTATTTGTGTCGATTACAAAATGGATTGGTTTCATAGAGGGCTATATCCTAGCATTTAATATGCCCTCAATATTATCAATACAGAAATGGTGCATACATTTTTAGACGTCTATCTAAAAAATGAATTCAGTGCGCCACATACATGACAGAATTTTGGAAGTAAGAAGACAGATTAAAAATGATATAATGCCAATTATCCAAATAATGTCTTATATATAGTGCGAATTTTGTTTTGGATATTTTGAATTAAAAAGATATGTTTTATTTCAAAGTCATAAAATTAAATGCATTGTAATTTGATTTGACAAATCTTACTGACCATATTTAATCTAGAATATAAAAATAAAAATGTTTCATGAACTTACATCTGTGATCCAGGATTGATGCTGTGGCTATCAACTTCTTTGTCAAACTGAGTTCTGATAAAGTCAAGTTCACCATTGTCACCAAATGCTCCCCACTCAGTGTTGATGAGGACAATAGGTTTAGATTTATCTCCATCAAAGTCTATGACATTTTCTATTTTTTCAACGTAACAAGCATTTGTTCCCGTGCCTATAAGAGATAAAAAATGAAAAATTAGTACTTCTAAATAAGTCGTTTCACAATAAAATTAAATTATATTTAACTACCTATTCTGATTAATAGTGACCAATAAGCTATCTGTCTACTGATTAATTATTAAAATAAAAAATAAAACTACAATGAACTTGGTAAAATTCAATTAAGTAATTATGAATATGATAAAATATACATTGTATGAACAAAAAATCTGGTGTCCGTATCACAGGACTTTCACTTACCACCCTCTTCTCAGCAGAAATAAGTATTTTCATACAAAGAGGAAATGAAAGTAACAATTATAGATCCAATATTTATTTACATTTCATTGTGGGTATTTTTATTTGCTTAAATAGCCCAATATATACAAATTTTAATTTTTATATCCCTGTATTCTATACAATTAAATATTAAATAATGATAGCATTTATGAAAACCACATATGTATATGTACATAATATTGTTGAAGTCCATATTATATTAAGCTTATGTTATGTATGGAAGCCAGTTATGATCTTTTGGGCGAGTTCGGGTACGTTCATATTCCTTTGGTTCTTCAATTACAATTATTATTCATTACGATCTCTTACTTCTCCTTTAGTTAATTATCAAATTCTGTCATATTTTATGTTTCAATATTTTTTGTATCAAAGATTAATGTGGAATGGTTAATTATTTCAAATAAAAAAAATTAAAGGTACTTTAGAGGAGGCTTGAAATATTAAAAATTAGCTATTTAAGCCCTGTTAGAGAACATAAATGAGAATAAAACCTCCATAAAACTAAAAACTGCATAATTTACATAATTACACTGATATAATGAATTTAATCAAAATCGTTGGAGCCGTTTTCGAGAAAATAGTAAAAATGTGTTTTATCGATGATATGAAGTGCCACTTCCGGTTAGCCGATTTTGACGAAAAATTTGCTGTAACATCTCAGGTGTATACAAACCTTAAATCTGCAATTTCACATTTATACAACTTTTCGTTTTTGTGCAAGACCTGTCACATACATATAGAGACACATGTGTACACACACAGACCATTTTGTGGGACTTGGTTATTTGGACTCAGGGGACCTCAAAACATGTATTTCCGTTGAAAATTCAAAAATTTTCACTATCGCAATACTTACCCTTACTATATATTACAAACATAGGAGTAAGTAAAATAATAAAAAAAATCAAACTAAATTACAACCTCATGAAAGATAGAAAAGTGAATATTTTTTTCATAAATCTATTTTAATCAAAATAACAATATAATACCATAAATTAATAGCATATGAATATATATATATATATATATATATATATATATATATATATATATATATATATATATATATATATAAAACAGACACAAAATTAACCTGAATGAGTTTGAAAATTAAACCAAATATAAAAATTAATTAAGCACACAAAATAGACATGAAAATGATTATTAGAATAAAAAATTTACTTTTATAATCTTATTCCCCTTTTTTTGTCTATCATATTATTATAATTTTGTCTATATTATGGCTTTGAAAAGAGAAAAAAATTAACGAACTTTATGTAGGCACAGTAATATATTTCAATATTTTACTTGTATATTTTGTCTTTACTTTCAGTTAGCTATATATGAAATATATAATAAGGGACAGTATTGTGATAGTGAAAATTTTCGAATCTGACTTTTCAGCAGAAATACATGCTTTGAGGTCTCCTGAGTCCAAATAACTAAGTCCCCCAAAATGGTCTGTGTGTGTGTGTATGTGTGCATGTGTCAAATGTATATATGTATGTGACAGGTCTAAAATAAACAATAAGTTGTATGAAATGGCTTAAAGGCTAATTTTCAATATTAGGTTCCCCTAAGTACCTTTAATTTTTTTTATTTGAAACAATTGACCATTTCATCTAGATCTCTAATATAAAAAATAGTTAAATTTAAAATATGAAAGAATTTGATAATTAACTAAAGAAGAAATAAGAGATCGTAACAGAGAATAGCTGTAATAAAGAAACCAAAGGGGTACGAGAGTTTTACATGTACCCCATGAAGGGGGGGGAGGTGGAGTAATATCAATTGAGGGTGATGAACCCTAAACATATACATATGCGGTTTAACTAAATGTTTTAGTTGGTATTATTTAATATTTAATTGTATAGATTACAGCGATATAAATATTCTTATAATTCTTAGTTAGCAACCTAGTACAGGTCTCAAAATCATATTCGAAAACAATTTTTACTCCCCGTTAAGATACAGAAAATACTATTTTAATAATTTGCAGCCAAAGAATCCATATCCTACATAAAGCAGACAAATATGAGATAAGTAACTAACAAGAAAATGAAAAAAGAGAAAAACCTAACTCTTTGAAATAAACCTAGAGCAACCTGGTATCTTACTTTTATAACAAACTTACTTACCGAGAATTACACCGATTTTAGTATTATGGTTTTTCCATGCACAAGACATTAAAGTTCCAGTTGTGTCATTCAGTATGGCCATGATATCAATGTGAAGATTCTGTAAATAAAATTAATGGCATAAGAACATTAAATAAATAAATGATAAACAAAACAAACAAAAATTTAATCCAGATTCTGTTGAAAATGACATTAATTAATTACCCCATGAGAATGGATAGCTTCCCTCAAAAGTTCTACAACATCTTCACCAATAGCTTCAGGACAATTAAAGCCTTTAGTCCACCTCTGTAAGATACCCCTTGATAAACCTTCTTGCTTCAGTGGAAAACTGAATGTGAACCCAAGGGGTAGGTTATCTTTGCTCACTTTGTGCTCTGTAGTGAAATCAGCAAGACATTCTGCTATGTGGTTAAATAACTGGTGGAAAAACAAAAAAAAATGTGTTAAAAAATAATCAACATTAACACAAATTAAAAAAGTACATTTATAAAACTTATTTCTTACTACGTTATTATTCGAAAAATTCCAAATCGTGCAGACTTACATCTCCAAAATGAAGGCAAAGAAAAACCTTTCTTAATTTAATAACACCAAATTTTGATTTTTTTTCTCTGCTTGCACTTTGAAGGCATATGGCTATGTGGTTTGGAATTTTCCCAATAATAACCTAATATTTATCCTTCTGTCTTTTGGTTATTTTGTTACTAATTTATAACAACTTATTACTTACGTTTTTACTGGTTCCAACCATTACATCCTGGGGTATAACATATATTTTAGACTGCATATCAAAATGTCTGCCATTTAATGTAATCAGTAAAACTCTGAAATTAGTTCCTCCAAGATCCAAAGCAAGAAATTTACCATTTTCTGTGAATAAAAAAGATATTTCAAACTCAATAAATTAACCTAAATAAATGGAAACAAATAATAAAGAACTATTAGAATGGACAGTATATTTTAAGTTGTAGTAAATAACAACATGCCATTATGTTTTATGAAGGATTTGGAGAGAGAAGGCAAATAAAATAATTTAAAAATTCTTCTTACGAGATGTAGGTGTTTTAAGAATAACAACAAGATACCTTAATATTAATGATTTTCTATAAGTTAAATTTATGGTAAGTGAAACTATTATCTAGTGTTAAAGATGAGAAATTCAGTCTTTCAATTCAATTATTTCTTTACACTTTACATAAAATCTAATTTCAATAATAAATAAATAATTTTCTAACCTTCTCCAGATGGGAGATCCTGTACATATGTAGTAAAGCATTTTACAGAAGAGGAAGGTTTTGTTTTTGGATTAAGGCCCTTATCTATTTCAGTTCTCAATTTTGCCATCACTTGCTTGAGAGTGGAATCGGGTATGATGAATTCCTTGCATCCTTCCCGAATCTATAAAAAAAAAAAAGTATAAATGTTCGGTAAATTAACAACTAATTTAACATAAGGGAGACATGATTTTTTGTGAATTATAATAATTATTGTAGAAACTTGTGGATGTGGATAATGAAGTACAATTTTTTCAAGGTTATTTTATCAGTGAACAGAAAAGCGCTGGCAAGAGTTGGGTATGAGAAGGGGCTAAATCCAAGATTACAACAAATTTTCAACCTTTTCAAATTTGGAAGTACTTAATACAAACTACAAAATATGCCATTCCATGTATCATAATGGCTATAAGGAAATGTACATGAACAAACCAAAAAATAATTTAAATGAATTATTGACAATCGGTAATATTCATAACTTGTGGAGATAGAAAGAGGACCAAATTTTTCTTTTGAGGAGATATCATTAATCACAATTGTTTTCCTGGGTCAAGATAAGTTGAGTTATAAGAATTCTTATGTGTTCCAATTAGAGAGAATGAGTCTAAAAATATAAAATAATTACATATTATTTCATTATGAAGGATAAAAATGTGGAGGATTTAATATCAAATTATTGCGAAAATTAAATATATTAAGTAATATTTTTTGACCCACGCATATTATGCATTACTGATTCTCAAGCAAAATACATTAACAAGGTGTATAAAAAAAACGGAAAGAAAAATTCTTCAATGAATGGGCAAGGAACAAAATTTATCAAACCAAAACTTCACAAGGAACTTACCATCTTTTTTCAAAACGTAGTCGAATTAAAGAGAAAAACAAACTGCTGATGATATTTTAATTTAATTTTTTTTTTAAATAAAAAAAGTATGTCGTACTTAATGTATCATATAATGTATACATACATTTATTAATGAAGTTGCTAATGTTTGTTCTTAGTATTTTTTTCAAGTTCAATATCACCTATAGTTTTTTTTTGGTAATTTCTTATTTTTAAAGTGTGCCAAATTTATTTATTTATTTTTTATATATATAAAAAACAGGTTGATTTCAAAAACTATCAGAATTGTTTATGAATAATTAAATAATTGACTGTATAAAAAAAATATACGGTAATAATTTCGATGATGCCCGCAGCCTTTTGGGGAGGAGTGGGGACGCTTATTCTAGAGGATTGTTTACATTTAGGTTACAGTTATGTTAGGCTATCTCAATCCCCCACCACTTTTTGCTCCATAGGCACCTCAAAACCCTTAATTTTTCATATTTTATTGGCAGTATTTTAGTTTAGAAGCTTAATTTTGTTGTTTAAGTGATATGTTTAGTTTATTAATAGGTAGTTTTTTATTGGATAGTTATACGTTTTACTGTTTAAAGTGGTAGTTTTGGTTTAATGTTCAGTGATAGGTTTCATCTTCACAGACTCTTATTTTATTAGTGATATTTTGTTTAAAAGTTTAATTATGTTGTTTTAGTAATATATTTAGTTTACTAATAGGTACTTTTTATTTAATAGTTATACATATTAGTGTTTAAAGTGATAATTTTGGTTTCTTCTTCATAGACAAAATCGTGAGTATACTTTAATTCTTTACTTTATTTTATTAATTTTCCTTTTTAATTCAGTGGTAATGAAAGAAAAAGATGGAAATCAAGTTTGTAACTTGGTTATAAGAAGCTAGTGTCTATAGTTCGAGGCTACTAGCTAACACAATTTTTATCTTGAAGTCAGTAGTTTCTAGTATAAAATTGAAATTTGGTTTTCCTTTATAGTTATGATTACTTTCATCATTAAAATATGAGTATAGTTGATGATCCTTAGCTTTATTGAGATCTCTAGTAACTAAAAGTAGTTTTCTTTTATGCCAGAATAAATGATATGATACTCATCATGACTGATTTTTAGAAATAGATTGTTGTACTGCAAAAGTTCTGAAATGAAATTATTATTTTTCTTGTTGAAATCCTAAAACTATTAATGTTTATTCAAGATGTTTTTTTATCATTTAAGGTCAAGATTATCATTTAAGGATCATCAACTACACTCATATTTTTAATATTGAAAGTAACAATAACCAATAAGGAAAACCAAATTTCAATATTATACCTGAAATCACTGACTTCAAAATAAAAATTGTATTAGCTAATAGTCTCAACCTATAGAAATATCTTCTATAACCAAGTTTCAAACTTCATTTTAATCTTTTTCCTTCATAACTATTGAATTACAAAGGAAAATCAATAAAAGAAAGTAACAAATTAAAGGATTAAGTCATTTTGGAAACCTATATGAGCCCAAATCAACTCAGCAAGAGGTGATTTAAGAGGATTTTACATAGAGAAAAATGAGGGTAATTATTTACAAGTGGTACTCCTCCGCCCATCTTGTAAATAACCACTTGTAAATAATTACCAAAATGAATATTTAATAGTTGACCGTTGCATTATAAAGGAAGAAGATGGTCCGGGGTTGCGGTCATAAATAGTCTAAATAGTGGTAAAACTATTTTATTGAAAGCCGACGTTTCGACCCGACTTTGCAGGTCTTCTTCAGGGCTACGGTTACTGACTAGTCCAACTACAGCAACTGAGTACTATAGAACTTTAGTTGGACTAGTCAGTAACCGTAGCCCTGAAGAAAACCTGCAAAGTCGGGTCGAAACGTCGGCTTTCAATAAAATAGTTTTACCACTATTTAGCCTATTTATGAGCGCAACCCCGGACCATCTTCTTCCTTTATTACCAAAATGAGTTCTGTTGATGAAGAACACATAATTAATTGTCACATTATTAAAGATAATGACAAGGATTCTTAAGGGGTTTATTGTATTTAGACTTAGGATAAATTCAATTGGTAAAAAGAATTTCTCTCATATGTCTATTTTTAGCAGTAAATCTGTAAATGTATATGTGCAGCATTTATAAATTGAAATTCCTTTGTAAATAAATAAATATTCTCTGTTTTATCTAATGTTTTTTATATTCCTTTGTTGATTAAAAATGTTTTCTATTTCAAGTTAATTTGGATATTTTTTCAATCAATTGATAGTTGATTGTATTTTATCCTTACAGTTTTATGTTTCACTGCTAGTTATTTTTACTTGGTATATCTAGTGTGATAAAATTGAAAATATATTATAGCCAACAACCTCTAATTTCCCAAAAAAGTATTGAAAAATAAATAAAACTAGGGAAAGCATATATTCTGGACTAATGGAAAATTCAGGTGTGACAAACATTATTACAATTTATCATATTATGATTATTATTCCATTTCAATGATAACAGGTGTATTGATATTGGTAAATAGAAATTTTCAAATTATACAAAAACTAAGTTATACCACTCTGAAACAAATACTCTCCTACCACCAGGCTTAAAAGTAAAATGAACAACTTTTTCTATTTTAGATGCAATATGCAATATCTACATTATGGTAAGAGGTAAACCATTTCATAAAAAGTATTTTATATCAATGATCAGAAATGAATCTGTTGATCGAGGATCAAATTTTGAATTATTTAAATTTGTAATAATAGTGGATTTATAATAGTTGGTGTTGTCCAAAATCAGTCTTGGTCATGCACTTTGCAAGATCAAGACCGGAAAAAAAAATCCCTTTTATGTAGAAAAATTAAGGTAAAATAGTCACTAAAACTTGAAAAATTGAGTTGCCATATGTAAAGAAGTGGTATAACCAATATCATTTGGAATTTAACTCTCAATTTTTCATTTGGGCTTAGTTAGGTTTTCCGTATCTGAAAAATTACAGTAATTTCAGACGTCTCATTTCTCTATTCACTAGTTTCATTTTGCTGTGGAGCACAAAATATACTTCAGAGAATTCGTTGTTTACATTGAACAAACTTTGGATCATTATTCTTTCTATAATCTATTCTTACACCACAGAAAGAACCTTAAAAGTAAATAATGATGTTGCTTTTACAACCCTCATTTCTTAGTCTGCCTGTGTCCCTTAACAGGGGTGCCCAGAAGGGAGTTTCATGCCACAAGTTGCGCCATCAAAATTTTTAAGGAGGCACATGTTGACTGGATTTTGAATTTTTGAGTGAAAAGTTTCAAAACAGAGAATTGGGAAGAAACATGGGACATACCACTCCAGGTATAATTGTATATGATCTTGGAATTGTCTAATCTTACTTTCGCTTGCATTGCTTTTAAGAAGGGGAGTGAAATACAATTTTTGGAGAGAGGGGGATGGTTCATGCGCCATCGACCTTGGAGGGGATGGGCACCCCTTAAATAGATGTACAGGGAAAGTTTGAACTAATTAATATATTTTACTAATTGAACTAGCGTAATGAATGAGAGAGTTGAGAAAAAATATTACGGGAAAAAGATAAGGATAATTTTGGTTATTTTTCTAGAGGGGAGGGCATACAGAAAAAATTTCAATAGAACCTCATTCATCTTCAATAATCTGCATAGACTTTAGATAAAGATATTTTTCCAATCATGTATTTCAACTTTGAAATTATTTTCATTTTTTATATCAAAAAATAATTATAGGCTAGGAAAATCTTAATCTTGGTATCATCCAATTCTCCAAACATGTTAGAACAAATGAATACATTTTCAAGAATTTAGTTCAATAAATACTACTTTACTTAGAGAAGCAAAGATGCAAACATGCTAGTTCCAGCTCAAATTTGTTTCCAAAAAAGTTCGAATCTCTTACTTTCAAATATGAAACTGCTTATTATAAGTAGGTAAAATTTGACACTTTTTTCTTATGTGTGTATTCGCTTCCTAAATATAAAATTTTCATTAAAAACTGTACTGGGTGTCCTGACCCACCCCTGTATGATATGGAAAGGAATGACCCATGGTATTTATTCCATTTAATAAAGGAGACTTTTTATTTATTAAGAAGTAAAGCACTAATTTTTAAAAATATTCTTTATAGTTTGTGTAGATTCAAGAGTTTTTCTAAATTTATGTGTTCTTGGTTAATTTTTGTAATATGGTAATTTCTAATTTCCATATTTCTTAATTCTATTAAGTTTTCTGTGAAGACTTTACACGTAAATTAAGAAT